GCCTCTTCCTTGGCCTTCCCTACCACTGCCTCTTCCACCGCCGTTCTATATTATTGCTCTTCTATGCCCGTCTTTCCCGCCGGTTCGTTCTCCTTGCTCCCTCCTCTCCCCAACCCCCTACTCTGTCCCACAGGCGTTCCTAACCTGTCTTGTGACTTTCTCTTTCTCTTACACCCCCTACGCCCTTTCGCTCCTTCCTGCCTTCACTCCCACGCCCTTCTCCCTTTTCTCCCTATACCTCTCTCACTCTCTCTTACTCTCTCTCTCACTCTATCACCTTTCACTTCTGCACACACGAATTCGCCTATTCACTTTCTACCAACCGGAAACAGAAGTCCCTCTTATGCCCTTGTATTATACTCGCAAAAATAATGCTACAGAGACTATGGAAACTAAAGCTTTCATAGGATGATCCATTGCCAGCCAATTTGCAGAGTGAGTGGACACGATTCGCTGGGGAACTCACTGCTCTCAATGAGCTTCGCATTCCGCGACAAGTCTGCTCTACGCAACCGCATCGAATCGAGATTCACGCATTTTTCGATGCAAGCGAGATGGCCTACGGGGGGCTGCATTTACATACGTTCAACGAACATCACGGGTGCAACTTCGGTTAATTTGTTGTGTGCCAAGTCAAGAGTCGCGCCTGTGAAACCTCTCACGATGCCTAAGTTGAAGTTAAATGCTGCACATTTTCTCACAAGGTTGGTAAATAATATCAAGGCAGCCCTGGACGTGAACATTGACTTTATACATTACTGGAGCGATTCTACGATCGTTCTCAGTTGGGTGAGAATGGAACCACATCGTCTTCAAACATTCGTACGCAATCGCGTGGCAGATATACAAACACAATCTTCTGCGGACGCCTGGAAGCACGTTTCATCCTCAGACAACCCGGCGGACCTGCTGTCTCGTGGAATAGCACCTAAATCATTGGTTGACTCAATGCTGTGGTGGCACGGACCAATATGGTTGGCGGAAGACGAAGAATAATGGCCGG